CAGATCAAACCCTGAAACAACCTCTGGGCTGATATAAGTCAGGGCATGGCTAACTCACAGATCAAACCCTGAAACAACCTCTGGGCTGATATAAGTCAGGGCATGGCTAACTCACAGATAGAACCCTGAAACAACCTCAGGGCTGATCTAAGTCAGGGCACTGCTAACTCATCCAATTCGATCCAATCTCCCTTGATTCCCACTGTTGTACTAATTACAGTACATTAATGCTTCACTAATGTTAACTGCTTGTTTTGAAACCTTTTCAGATAATCCAGAGAGTAATTAAAAGTATTTGTCTGTCTGGGTTTAAATTCTACTATGAACAACTCTTTATTGTTGGTATGTAAAGATGAGAATATGCGGACCAAGTAGCACTTATGAAATACAAGATATAGAAATATAGATTAGTTATAGTGCTTGGGAACGAGGTTATTCCGGGCGAAAGACCCTTGCAAATAAATTTGGAAAAATTCATTTCCGACCTCGCTGGGAATCGAACCCACAACCTTCAGAATTGTACTACTGATGTTGGTATGTAATGATGCTTTTGATCAGAGGGGTTTCAGTACAGGGAAACAATACAATAAAGTTGTAGCTCTACCATATTTTACTGGTAACTGTATGTAACTTTGAGTAGTCATTTGTTAATGGTTTCCTATGCGTATGTACAGACGTTTCTCTTTCATATGAAAACTGCTCAAGTAGTGTAATGATAAAAGGACTAGCGTCTGAAGCGTCAGTAAGCTTTTACATCTTTTCACGGTGTAAAATTTAAAATTTAAGAATTGATTCTTTAGATAGTGAATAGTTGATTGTGAAAATAATTCGTCATTTGAATGTCGGGACTTTGAGATATGAAGGTCTATATTTCCAATATGTTAATGACTATGACGTAACATAAGGGATTTGAGTTATTTCGTGGCAACTTTTAATATTGAACGCTGGACATTTTTTGAAAACAAATTTATAAGAACCTTTGCGTGAGTCATGATTAAAAGGGTGATCCTTTTAAAATACTGTAATCCAGAATGAGTGCAGTGTTGTATATTAAATGATCCCTTATGTTAAGTCATAGTCATTAACATATTGGGAATATAAACCTTCATATCTTAAAGACTCTACTATTATATTTCCATTTTAGTTGAAATTAAAGATCAATCAAACTAAAGGAGTTTATTTTCTTCTTTTTCCAGGTAATGATTGTTTACGTTCATTGTGTAACTGGCTACGAGTGTACTATGCCGGCTGTTGTGATCAGACTGCTGTGTTCATCATCCAGCAGTTACAGTACTGTCAGACACCCACCTATCCCCATGTCATGTCCATACTTGACCTCGTAGACATGGTAAGACAACAACTATGGTACTGTACTGTGAGACAACCACCTACCCTCAGCAATCAGCACTGTCAGACACCCACCTACCCTCAGCAATCAGTACTGTCAGACACCCACCTATCCTCAGCAATAGGCCCTTTGCAGCTAAGCAATCACGTGCTGATTAATTCACTGAGAGCAAATGAATGAACATTTTGATACCCATGGGCGAAATTTACTGGACTGCAAACAAACTTTCTACAACCTGTTTCAAGCGATCGTCACAAAACTACATTTCATAACACACTGCATACACATGTTTTCATTCAGTTCTTTACAAGTAGCTAAAAAGAATCACCAATTTAATATAAAAACAAAAGTTTTGCAGTCCAGTACAGACATGTGACTGTTAACTGCAAAGGGCCTATTAGTACTGTCAGACACTCTCCTGCCCTCGTCATGTCATTAGTGGACCTTGTAGAATTCTGGGCCATATTCCTTTAGCATTACAATAATTTTTCTCATGTTTTTTAGGTGAGAAGCAAAGTTGGCACATCCATCCCTATTACCTTTATCAAGACTCTTTTACATCCTGGCTCACAATTCGTGAAGCTCAGACTAACTCCAGATGAAGCAGTAAGTTATATGACTGTCAATATTTTTTTACTTTCTCTCATATCTGAAATTATATCTCTTGCCTTCTTTGCTTAAAATATGCTTTCCTTCATTTATTAATAAACATTGTCAGTCTTAAATAGAAATGTTGCTCAAATAGGAGATATCTACTAGATATTATATCTATTGGTGTTGATATCTATAGTCAGCTCTCACCTTGCCGACGCCAGACTATTACGATCACCTTGCTATTGCAGAGAGTACCAAAATCCCTGGCGGAATACATTAGCAAAGAAATGACTCCAATTGATTCCTGATATTGCAGATGGTCCCTACTTTAGACACCAATTACATATAACATAACGGTTTATTCACAATTCATCATCTTGTATACAGAAAATAGAAGGGAAAAAAAGGCAAAAACATGAAAAATTGTGAAAGGAGGTGAAAGAGGTTATCCCTATCTAGTTCACCTCCTTAATTGATGGTCTGAATGTGTTTGCTGTAAAGAGAGTTGACCGTATTCACTGGATAGCACTTTTTCTGCTGAATAGTGCTTATCCAGAAGATAATTTAGTCAGACTTCATTCATCTGACTCCTGGGGTCCTTGTGAAATACCGCAAGCTTATTATATTCTTGGTCAGCTTTGTTCTATTGTATAACCTGGGTTCTTTTGTTGTTTCTAATGGATCTGTGCTCGAAGGAGGAGCCAACTCCTAGTAGTAAAAGCAAGAGAATGTTTATGTTATCACCTGCAAATGGACTAAGAATTCTTAAACTCTTCATTTTTTTTCTGACCTAGATTCTATCCAGTTTGATGAAAATCTATCAAGGATTCCTGGGGATTCGTGATGTACAATTAATGGAAGCCACTTACAAGTATGTATAGAATAAAACACTTGACCTTGGCTTGGGTATAATGTTTTTCCTTTTTTTTTTTTAATGTAGGTTATAAGAAAGGCAGCCCATAGGGCTGATGTGATTTCAGACCACGTCATTCTCTTGAGAATAAGATTCTTTGTCTAAGTTGTATCCATATTCATTTGTCTCCCTATATGCAACCCATAAACAAAGAAATCATAATATAGGGAATAACATGTGGTCTGAAATGGAAAAACATGCCAAAAGCTTAAGAGGTCTTTTCAGGAATAAATTCAAAAAACTTCATCTTTTGATACTTGAATTCCTTTTGGTTAACAGCATAACTGTTGCTGAACTCACAGACCAATTTAATCAACTCAAACAATTGGCTAAGGCTTGTAGAGGCACTGATTCAGAGATCCTGTCATCAGACCTGGTTAATGATGTGGAGAGCTCAAAACAACAAGCAGACACAGCTGACGTCGTCAGTAGGGGAGGTGTTCATCAGCCAATCATGGATGAGGGAAGTACAAGGCAGACATCAAGTCAGCCAATGACAGACAACATCACAGGTGCTGTGAAYGGACCAATTGAAAGTGAGGGAATGGTCTCCATGGAAACATTAAGTGAACCAACCATGGGTTTTGTGATAGATGAAAATAAGCCAATCATAGGTGATGTGATTACCAGCAATACAGTCAATGGACCAATCACAAATGACACAGGAAATCAACCAATCACAGATAGCATAGACCTGACAGTCAGAGCTAACCATCTTCAGTCTATAATCATATTTGACTTGTGTTCATTGTCAGAGATTGCAACAGAAAAGTCTCCCATCATTGGGGTGTGTATTTGTTAATTTTTCTATTCTATTTTTTTACTTTTTTAAATTGATACCCCAAAACAATTACTGGGCCAATCTAAGTCTGGGCATGGCTTACTCTCAGATTGATACCCTAAAACAACGTGTTGGCTGATGTAAGTCTAGGCATGGCTTACTCTTATATTGATACCCTTAAACAACTTGTGGGTTTATCTAAGTCTGGGAATGGTTTTTATGGCGTTTTTTAGAGGGAGGAAGACACCCCCCCCCCAAAAAAAAACAGAAAAGTCCTCAAATTAAGGGAGAGACCTAACAAACTCTACTCACACATGATGCTGATACTCGTGAGTTTTTGAAAGTTTCATCCAATTTTGAAAACTTTCAAAACATCACACGTACCTATAGATTCCGAATTGTACTCGAGATCGTGTGATTTCCTATGCTAATATAATTTGATATAATATGTCCTTGTAACTTGAGAATGCAGCCTTGATTATCACATTCATTATGTCTTTCAGCTATGGAAGTTAACCCCCACTCTCTTTGACCTTCTAACCCAGTACATAAGTGCTTGTGAGTGGACAGTAGCAGCATGCTATCCTGCCGTGCAGTACACCATTCTACATGCATTGTATACCCATTGCCAAAGGTAATTATGATCATTTAAAACACATAGTAGGTAGTCATCACCTTCTGCTATCTTGCTACATGCAGTACTTTATACTACATTGCATATGTTTTTTGGGTAAAAATGATAGTGCTAGACGATGAACAAGGATGATGCATGATGGTGATGCATAATGATGCATGATGGTGATGATATTTTCATAATTTTGATGATGATGGTGATGATAATATTGGTGATGGTGATGATGGCAATGATTGTGATGGTGATGGTGATAATGATGATATATAATGTTGATGATGATGATAATAATGATGATGATAGTATACTAACTAATAGATGGTTATTTTTCTATCTCTAATATAACCTTAATATGTTTTTGGATCCACAGCAACGCCCATTTCTTGTCCAGTGTCAAAGATCCATCCACCATTTCAGACCAAAACAAGAAGGGAAGCTTAAGTTTTGTTCTTCATCTTCTTTCTAAAGTCCTCATTAGTTCTACTTCATCATATGATACCAGGTCAGTTGTCAGTAAAGATACTTCAGTAGGCTGCATAGTGAAAAGTAATGTTGTATATGTGTTTGGGGGAAGGGTGATAAGAACCAGTGCAAGACCCAGTTGGTGTATGTAACAGGGGCTGCTGGGCATAGTTTTAAGTGGGTGGCTAATATAGGGGCTGCAGGGGAATGCCCCTCCAGTTCATCGCATCTRCTGTCCTTGTGTAATGGTTTGATTTCTAATGTTGTGGGTGGTCAACTTGATTACGTCATTTGTCTGTCTGTCTGTCCAATAGGAAACTGTGTTTGGTATGGCTAATGGAGACACTTGACTTAGTCTTCAAATCAGGACCAGAAATAACAGCAGCAGTAAAGGAACACTTTAACTTTGACATCTTAGGAAACAGTTTATTGCCACTGTGTAAGTACAAGGTTGAGACCAACCATTACTGCAAAGATATCATTTATTCAGCATCACAAAAATATTCAGGTTTTTTTCAATAATGTGTGTTAATTATTGGGGAGACAAAACATGAAGGTGAGTGTAGAAGATTTGATGCTTTAAGGTGGAGAGTTTGTCAAGTACATTCACATTGTATAAATAAATATATATATATATATAGACCTTGTTTTGTTGGGGTACCACTTAATAGCCTGTGGCTAGCAAAATTCCATGATTGGAGTTTAGCAGTTTTCTTGTGTAGGGAAGAAAACTGGAGAGCCTGGAGAAAAGCCTTAAAAATATTGGAAAAAACCAACAACAAGCAGCTGTACTCGTGTAGGACACCAGGCATAGGCACAATAATTAAATTATTTATCCAATGTATCTCTACTGTCAATGATGCATTCTGATAAGAATACCGGATACAATGCTAGGGTGGGAATGAACTGCATTGAGCTAACTTCTTTTTCAGGGGGAGGGGGAGGGGAAGAATACTCTAAACAATTGCCCTAATGCATTTTATCCATTTAACAGCTTTCAATCCATGTTGCCACTTTTCCTTGGAAGTGTGTGAGTGCATGAAAATTCTCATTGAACTGAAGCTCCTGTCAGTCAACTGCCTCAAGAGGTACTAAGACCAGTTTACTTTTCTGTTTGTCAGTGTCTCTATACTCTATATTGAAAACTATATATTTTTTGGTCTAGTATGGTATTCTAAGAATCGTGCCTTGTGATTGGCTGCTTGAGTGAATTGTGCCTTCTGATTGGCTGCTTGAGTGAATTGTGCCTTCTGATTGGCTGCTTGAGTGAATCGTGCCTTCTGATTGGCTGCTTGAGTGGGTGGTATTCTATTCTAAGAATCGTGGCTTTTGATTGGCTAGTAAATAATCTTTATGGTCTGTATTAAGCACTACCAAACTTTGTCAATGGCTGGTTGATTAAAGGAGTGATCATTAGGTTGGATGGTTGGTTGGTCGAATAATTAAATTAACATTATTTATTTCCTTTTCAGATGTCTACAAGATTGTACAGTACGACTGATGGATGTCAATGACACTGTGCGGGAATGTTACCTGTCACTCATCAAGGCACTACCTGCTGATGTTATAACAAGGTATCATTCTGTGTAGCTGGGAGAGAAGAGCGGTTACCTTTGGCTTGCTTGCCATGGTCAATCTTTTTGCTAGCCTTTATGCTTGTTAAGTCTGACTTGCCTGCAAGCGATGACATCTAAATAGTACTCTCTTCATTGCCAGTCTTATTCTAGTTTATCTTAGTTTAATTTTCCCAATTGTTGTTTCAGTTTTGCATCAAGGAACCTTTTACAAGACAGGATAAAGATGCAAAAGACAGCAAGTGATAGTGAATTTAAGCAGTTGAGGACAAGTTGTGAGGATGTGTGGTGGGTCAAGAAGAATCACATTGTAAAACAACCAACTGGTACTTTTCATTCGTATAACTTTCAAGTTATAATGGGTTTTATTCAGCATGGAGTACTGCCAAGGTATGTCCTTATCTATTCATCCATTAATCTTATGCCATCTTTATCTAAGGCCATCCTATCTATTCATAACCCAAACAAAACCATCTAATGCTATAATCCCATCTCATGTGACATTGGATGCTTTTCATCCCATCCCATCCATGCATTCATCTATTCATTTATCCCAACTAATCCTATCCATCCCATCCCATCCATGCATTCATCTATTTTTTTATCCCATCTAATCCTATCCATCCCATCTCCATGTGACATTGGATGCTTCTCATCCCTTCCCTTCCCATCCCATCCCATCCATGCATTCATCTATTCATTTATCCGATCTGTTCAATCTCATTCCCTCACCTCCCACCAACTCATCAACTTAAAAAAAAAATGTTTAAGCAGCCAAACATTTAATTGATCCATTCATCCATGCCAGTTTCCTAACTGCCAACATCATTTTGTTTTCATTTGTTTGTCTGTTCATTCATCTGTTTGTTCCTTTGTTTGACCATTCATTCTATTTTATTTCATACTGATAGCAAAGAGATGCAAAGTGACTGGTTGGTTCGGCTTTTTCACACCTGTAATAGACCAAACAAATACACAGCAAGTGAACTGACCCATGTAAGTAGTAAAATATCACCCAAAACACTAACCAAGGGTGGCATGGTGGTAGTGTACTTGCCTCTCACCTCATCATCATAGCATGTAACAGGTCATTTACTCCCTAAATACTTCTCAAAAACCCTTTGATATCTTATCAATAAACAGGATGCATTGTGGTCTAGCTTGGGTAAGAACAGCACCATATAAATTAATGGATGACGAACAAAATATGTTTGTACCAAAGCTAGGCCACAATTCACCATGTTCGCTATCCCAGAAAAGGTCTAAATAATGTCCTATCAAGATCTTGTGGTATACTTGAGTTTCCTGCTATCTCAGGAAAAGTCTAAATAATGTCCTATCAAGATCTTGTGGTATACTTGAGTTTCCTGCTATCTCAGGAAAGGTCTAAATAATGTCCTATCAAGATCTTGTGGTATACTTGAGTTTAAGTTTCACGCTGATTGTGTATTTTTTCCTGTTCAGTTTAACAGCAGTCAGTCGGCCTTATGGTTCTGGTCCACCTGGGAAACAGCTCAGTTCTGTATCCTATCCAAACTGCGCACTTCTTTAGGAAGAGCACAAGAGACCTTTCAGGCCATTGAAGGAAGTCTGAACCAGTATGCTAAAGAGGCCAAGGCGGCAGATCAAGATGACCAGGCAAAACCAAGGAACAAAGATGATAACAAGTCCAGCGATGAAGATAGTGAACCCACAGGTATAAATGATGAAATTTTGAACTAAAGATGTTGTTTGTGAAACCCAAAATATTTGGTCCTGGGAGTGGAAATTGTGGATTCAAATCCCTCAGTGAAAAACAAGTAGTGTATGTGCATATGCTGACTGACAATGTTGATGATGATGATGATATTGATGGTGTTGAACTGGGTTTTCATTAAAGGTCTGGGATCAGAGAATGCTCTGGTAAATGAGCAAAATTTTCTGGCTTAAACTACCATTGCTGCGGTTTTTGATATTCTGCGAACTCGGTAGTTGCGAGCTGCACACTGAAATCTGTTTTTTCGCTGCCGTCAATCAAAAATAATTAGTCGGTACCTTTAATGTTCTTGACTGGTGGCAGTGAAAAACCCATTTCACAACAAGCCATTGGAATGTCAGAGTTTGCAGAATATGGAAAGCCACAGTAATAGCTTGGTAATATGTTCTCTATTCCAGCTAGTTCATGATTTCCTATCATTTCAAAACTCACTGAAACCTCTAGTTGATCATGGTGATTATGGTTATGTTTTAATGATGATGAGGATGATGATTGTGATGATGATGATTGTGATGATGAT